GGAGGGAGGGAGGGAGGGAGGGAGAGGGAGAGAGAGAGAGACATTGATGTGAGAGACACATCGATGGACTGGTTGCTTCCTGAATGTAACCTGACCAGGGGTGGGGAATGAACCCACAACCCAGGAATGTGCCCTTGATTGGGAATTGAACCTGAGACCCTTTGGTGCTCGGACCAACATTCTAATCACTGAGCAACACCGTCCAGGGTGGTTCTTTCTTGATTTTAGGTATCAAACTGATAAATCTTAAATTTTGAATCTGTCACTATGACACCGTACAATACTCTGTACAACTTATACCAGTATAAGCTGCTTGAATTGGCTCAATAGCCACAACTGAAAAAATGACAACACACATGTGCACAGAGAGTTGATCTGAAGTCAAATCTGAAGACACTATTTTGCATGTAATTCAGGAGATGAAGTGATGTGTTCTTGGGCTGAAGGACTTTGACAGCTTTAAGGTAAAAAGCATGACATGAAATCATGTAAAAATTATTTGACTCACTGGCAGAAAAATCCCCAAGATTTTTTGGAAAGCATGAATGGTGCTCCTTAAGCAACTGTGTGTGTGCGCTTGTGTCTGTGTCTGTTTGTGTATGCACTCTGCCTTGTTTATTTAACCCATCATGAATTTTCAGCAGGACTGACTACATAATTTGTGAGGCCAAGTGCAAATGTGGGCCTTTGGCTCAATATTTATGAAGAGTTTTAAGGTGCTGACAGCAGAGCATTATATCCAGCACAGGGCCCTTCTGAGCACAGTTCCTACACCAGGAAGCCAGATGGTCCTGATTAGAATATACCTTCTTTCAAACCTTCTCCCCAGGGACTGAGGGTGAGGATGAAGAACTCCTGCTTTCCAGTTTCACCTCCCGTCAGCCTTGTTTCATCCTTTCTGAAAAAAATACTGGAAATTTACTATCATAGTAATTTTAAGTGTGCAGTACAGTGATATTAAATACATTCATATTATTGTGCGTCTCCATAACTCTTTTCATCTTGCAAAACTGAAACTCTGCCCATTAAACAATAATTCTCCCCCCCAGCACTGGCAACTACCCTTCTACTTTGTGTCTCTATGGGACCTCAAATAAGTGGAATCATACAGTATTTGTCTTTTTGTGACTGGCTTATTTCATTTAACATAATATCCTAGAGGTTCATCCATGTTGTGGCATGTGACAGGATTTCCTTCCTTTTGAAAGTTCAATAATGTTCCATTGTATGGATGAACCACACTTTATTTATTCATCTGTCTATGGATATTTGGGTTGTTTTTATCTTTTTAAAATTAATTTTTAGAGAGAGAGGAAAGGGTGGGGGTGGGGAGAGGGGAGAGAGAGAGAGAGAGAGAGAGAGAGAGAGAGAAAGAAAGAAAGAAAAAGAGAGACATTGATTTGTTGTTCCACTTATTTATGCATTCACTGGTTGCTTCTTGTATGTGTCCTGAGCAGGAATCGAACCCATAACCTTGGCATATGGGGACAATGCTCTAACCAACTGAACTACCCGTCCAGGGCCTTGTTTCTAACTTTTTACTATTGCAAACAGTGCCTTTATGAACATGAGTGTACAAATATCTGTTGAGTCCCTGCTTTCAATTTTTTTGGTTATGTACCAAGAAATGGAATGCTGGATCATGTGCTAGCTGTATTTTTAACTTTTTGAATAACCACCAAACTGCTTGCCACATGTTTTACATTCCTACCAATAGTGCACCTGGTTCCAATTTGTCCACATCCTCACTAACGCTTGGTTTATTTTCTCTTCTTTTGTTAGTAGCCATACTAATGGGTGTGAAGTGACCTATCCTTGTGGTTTTGATTGGTATTTCCCTACTGATGAGGGATGTTGACCTTTTTGTTTTAAAATTTGTTTTTGAATACTCACAGTGAATACACTTTCCTTTTTTTAAGGAAAGACATGAAGTTGCTGGAGCAGTCAAGTTCTCTGAAAGGTTCACTGAGCGCAGAACAGCAGCTGTTCCTCATCACTGGTTGCTCAAATATTCAAGAAGCAGTAGAGGGCGCCATACACATTCAGGTGAGTTAAGGGCCTGTGCTCAATTCCATAAGGGCTTCCTACCTCCTTGGAAGAACAGGGGAAGATACAAGGCAGTTAAAAGTATGGACCTCTTGTCCTGGTGGGATGGCTCAGCTGGTTGGAGTGTCATCCCGTACACCAAAAGGTTATGGGTTAGATTCCCAGTCAGGGCACATACCTAAGTTGCCAGTTTGATCCCTGGGAGTCAGCTGATGGATTGTTCTTCTATCTCTGCATTTCTCTCTTTATCAAATCAATTAAAAAAAAAACATATCCTCGTGTGAGGATTAAAAAAAAGTGTGGACCTCTTGTAACATGAAGGTCAGAATTATGATGATTTTTTTGTTGTTGTTAATCTTCATCCAAGGATACTTTTTCCATTGAGTTTTTAGAGAAAGTGGAAGGGCGGGAGGGAGGGAGGGGAGAGAGAGAGAGAGAGAAGGAGAGAGAGAGAGAGGTATTGGTTGCCTCCCACACATACCCTGACTGGGGCTGTGCATTGAACCTGCAACCCAGGTATAAGTCCTTGACTGGGAATCGAACCCACGACCCTTGGGTGCGCAGACTGATGCTCTAACCATCCTCCCATACTGGCCAGGGCAAAATTATGATTTTTGTGATAGGAAATGTTATCATCAAAACATCTTATGGGCTTTAAACTACTGGGATGATGATCTTTCAGAGGTGTTAGGATTTTGAGCAAAAATAGATTTTCTGGACAGTTTTATCTTTCTATTGAATGAGAGATTATATTCCATTTTTTAAAATAGTTTTTTTTTCAATTACAGTTTACATTCAATATTATATTGTATTAGTTTTAGGTATATAACATAGCTGAGAATTTGGGAACAAACCCAGCAGTTTGAGCACACGTGTTTTATGGTCAGCTGCTGCCTTGAGATTCAGGTCAAATACACGAAATCTTAGAATCTCGACTTTGTGGCTCTAAAATTTCTCTGGTTCATTTAACAAATGTGTATCAGTCAGAACATAAGCAGGGGCCTATTTTTCAATTCTTTACCTTTTTCTATTATTTTCATCTCTATTTGATGTGGTGAAAGTTGTGTAGCATTGAGGAGGGATCCGATAGATGCTTCTTTAATTAGCCTTCACGTGCCACCTGTTTCACCCTTACTGAGGTGGTGGCAGGCCTGTACAAGGATTTGCTTCTAGAGAGAGCATGGAAGCTTTCTAGCATGGTCAGCACAGAAGGCTCTTCACACATGCTTAAGGAAGTGTGTGCTTTTTATGCTGATGTTGCTGGAGGAGGAGACACAGTTTATGTCCAACAATCCTCCCAAACACAGACATGTGGGAGCCGCCTGCATGGAGGCGGTGGTTGAGAACACAGACTTTAAGTCAGGCAACTTTGTACTGAACAGCTGTGTGACTTTGGCAAGTTTCTTAATGAGCCCACTTCCTCACCTGTGAAATGGGCATCATACCCCATGCACTGGGTGATTGTGAAGGAACCACAATGTCTAAGGGGACCCCAATGTAAGGCAAGGCTCTGTTTTTCCAATGAGAAGATTAAAACAATCCTTTTTGGGGTCCATTTGATATGTAATATTTACATGGTGGAAATAAATATTATAATTACCCATATATGTGATATAAAATATGAACATGTGAATATGTTTTCCAGAGCACATCTTTGCTTTCCTCTGAGATGCTTTAAAAAATCCATATATGATGATGGCACTAGAAGTTTTATTTTCACTCAACTACGAATTTTCAGACCTATATGTGTTTTTTTCTCCCTGCAGTAGTATGCTTGAGATTTGTGGTCCCACAACATAACAACTTGCTGTGTTCCTTTTTTTAAAAAAGTGATCTTTATAAAGCTTATTTACAAATTTTGCAGCCCAAGAAATAGTAAAGTCATGTCCCAGGAATCATTAATACACTGATGTTAAATTTCTTTGTTTTCTGGTCCAATTTTAAAAACTAGATTCTCTCAGATGGTTTCTACACTACCATGTTGAATTAGTTTAGGTTAATGCTTCTTCCCCAAACAGTATATTATTTTTCAAAAAATGGAGAACCTCCACAATATAACTTTAAAATGACTTGAATATAAAGCTGGTACTTTTATGGAAAAGTTTTGGGGAAATATTCCAACTTATGCATGTAAAGTGCTTAGCACAGTACTTGGCACATAAAAAATGCTTAATAAATTTATAAAATAAACTATCTTATAATGTAGCCAAGTATTACATATGTCCCCTATTTCCCCCCATTGGTCCATTCTAACCTGCCCCTATCCCCCGTCCTAAGCTTTCACCACCCAATTGTCTGTGTCCATGGGTTATGCATATATGCATACAAGTTCTTTGGTTGATTACTTCCCACCTTTCCCCACCTTCCCTCTGAGATGCCCCAATCGATTCTATGCTTCTGTGTCTCTGGATCTATTTTTTGTTCATCAGTTTATTTTGTTCATTAGATTCCACATATGAGTGAGATCATGTGATACTTGTCTTTCTCTGACTGACTTATTTCACTTAGCATAATATTCTCCAGGCCCCTCCATGCTGTCTCAAATGGTAAGAGATCCTTCTTTTTTTACAGCTGCATAGTATTCCATGGTATAAATGTACCACAGCTTTTTTATCCACTCGTCTACTGATGGGCACTTAGGCTGTTTCCAAATCTTAGCTATTGTAAATTGTGCTGCTATGAACATAGGGGTGCATACATTCTTTCTGATTGGTGTTTGTGATTTCTTAGGATATATTCCTAGAATTGGGATCACTGGATCAGATGGCAGTTCCATGTTTAATTTTTTCATGAAACTCCTTACTGCTTTTTATAATGGCTGCACCAGTCTGCATTTCCACCAGCAGTGTACTAGGGTTCCCTTTTCTCCACATCCTCATCAGCACTTGTCATTTGTTGATTTGTTGATGGTAGCCATTCTGACAGGTGTGAGGTGCTACCTCATTGTCATTTTAATTTCCATCTCTCTGATGATCAGTGACTTTGAGCATTTTTCATATGTCTCTTGCCCTTCTGTATGTCCACTTTGAGGAGTGTCTATGTAGGTCCTTTGCCCTTTTTTAAATTGGATTGTTTGTCTTCCTTTTGTTAAGTTGTATGAGTTCTGTATGTATTTTGGAAATTAACACCATATTGGATGTACCTTTGGAAACTATGTTCTCCCATACAGTGGGCTTTCTTGTCATTTTGCTGATGGTTTCTTTTGCTGTGCAGAAGCTTTTTATTTTGATGTAGTCCCCTTTGTTTATTTTCTCCTTAGTTTCCTTTGCCCTAGGAGATGTATCTGTAACATGGTTTCTTCTAGGATTCTTATGGTTTCATGACTTACATTTAGGTCTTTTATCCATTTTGAGTTCATTCTTGTGTATGGTGTAAGTTGGTGGGCTAGTTACATTTTTTTAAAATGTATCTGTCCAATTTTCCTAATACTATTTATTGAAGAGTCTATCTTGACTTCATTGTATGCTCTTGCCTCCTTTATCAAATAATTGAGCATAATGGCTTGGGTCGATTTCTGGGTTCTCTGTTCTCTTCCATTCATCTATATGCCTTTCTTGCACCAGTACCAGGCTGTTTTGATTACGGTGGCTTTCTGGTATAACTTGAACTCTGGTATTGTGATTCCTCCAACTTTATTCTTCTTTCTTAAGAGTGCTGTGGCTATTTGGGGTCTTTGTTGGTTCCATATAAATTTTTGGAGTAATTGTTCTAGGTCTGTGAAATATGGCATTGGTATTTTAATAGGGATTGCATTGAATCTATAGATTGCTTTGGGTAGTATGATGTTGATTTTACCAATCCATGAACATGGTATATTCTTCTACTTGATTATATCTTCCTCTATCTCTTTTTTCAATGTCCTTTAGTTTTTGGAGTACTAGTCTTTTACCTCCTTGGTTTATTCATAGGTATCTTAATTTTTTGTTGTAATGGTGAATGAGATTGTTTAGTTTCTTTTTCTGAGAATTCATTATTGGTGTATAAAAAAGCCATTGATTTCTGGGTGTTAATTTTGTATCCTGCTACATTGCCAAATTCATTTATTAAATCTAGTAGTTTTTTGGTGGAATCTTTAGGGTTTTCTATGTACAATATCATGTCATCTGCGAATAATGACAGTTTTACTTCCTCCTTTCCAATTTGGATGCTTTTTATTTCTTCTTCTTGTCTGATCACTATGATAAGACATGGGAAAGCAGACATCCCTGTCTTGTTCCTGTTCTTAGAGGAAATGGTTTTAGTTTTTGCCCGTTGAGTATGATGTTGGCTGTAGGTTTGTCATATGTGGTCCTTATTATGTTGAGATATCAGGGAAGGAGTTTAAATGGAGAGTGAAAATAATCAGAATAAAAAATGGGTAAGGGAAAAAAATTGAGATTTCATTTTTGTCTGATGCCTTGACTGATTTTCTTGGGCATGTTTACACATTTCTTTATATGACATGCAGCAAATTTGATTTTCCAAATTTTGCAACTAATGCATATTAATTTCACCTTGCTTACCAAACAAATAAGCAAATAAAATTCCCAAATCAAAGCCTGCTTAATGCTATACCATGTGTTTGTTAAATTTTATTAGGTTTCTAACAATTCAGGAATGTTAAAAATACATTTTAACGAAAAATAAAGTTTAGGAAAATACTGATTAGGTCCACTATTCAAAAAATGTTTTAATAGTTTTGTGTGTTCGTACTTCTTTCCATTGCTTCTATTTATTTTCTGTCTTTCTCTAACATAGTTGACATTTTACTGTTTAAGTAGTATTTTGTATCAAGGTTTTTATTTAAAACTTAGAATATTTCTGCCCTAACCAGTTTGGCTCAGTGGATAGAGCACCGGCCCGCGGACTCAAGGGTCGCAGGTTCGATTCCGGTCAAGGGCATGTACCTTGGTTGCGAGCACATTCCCAGTAGGGGAGTGTGCAGGAGGCAGCTGATTGATGTTTCTCTCTCATCGATGTTTCTAACTCTCTATCCCTCTCCCTTCCTCTCTGTAAAAAAT